AATAACCCTCGGGCAGGACACCCTCTATCAAGTAGATCATCACTTTCACGGCCGCGGACTCGGCCCGATCCATAACTTGCAGAACGAGGGCGGCCAACACGTTCAGGCCCTGGCAATAGCCGACGGACTTGTTCCATCGGGCGAAACCGAGCAGAACCCGGCGAAGCACCGCTTGATTGTCTCTCCCAGCCGCGCCGCAGAACAGACTGCACCCAGTTCTGTGTAGATCCTGTGAAAAGTCGGCGTGTATTATACCTGTTATATAAACGATACACGTTTGTATATTTATATATACATTTATATATAGGATTTTTCTGAATGGAAATGGAGGTGATAGGATAAGATGATGAAGAGGAGGTGGAGCGAAACGAGCTGGTTGGATTTGACTGTGCAGGCCAGCTTCGTTAAAGGTCACTTTTTCTCGTCGCGAGCGAGTTAATTGGAAGGCTCATCGGCGACACTTAATTGCCCGGCGTCGAAGTGATTGATGATCGAAATTTAATTGCGCGTAATTATACGGTGGGGGGAGGGGAGAAGAGTGGGGAGACTCGGGAGGGAGTTTTTCGAACGCGACGAGACGAGAAGGGAGAACTGGTTTTCGATTCGAATTTCGAATTCCCCGGGGAGGAAATTATTTGGGGAAGAAGAATTCGTTTTTGGAATTGCGCGGGAAATAAATACGAAGAGTGAAAGCTGTTTGTTCGTGAGTGGAGAAATTGGTTTCGTGTATGTGTATGTGTGTATCGCGATTTATCGCGAGAAGGAATTGTCGATAGCGATTTTGTGTAAATTGAACAATTATTCGGCAAAGGGATAATAACGAAAATAAGATATTTGTCAAACTAAACAGTTTTTAAAGATCTGTTAGTTGATTGGACGAGCTTTCGTTTAATAATAATGCGCTCGTTAACGATAAGAGACGAAAAGATTCGAGAAACGAAAAACAAAGAAGAAGCGGATATATATTTGAATTTCAAATTTTAGACGATACTTGTTTCAGGAATTCCATCGTTGTCGTTATTATTACGACACGGAGAGATGAGATGAATTAACGTGGAATTAACGAGAACACGGTTTTATTATGCGAGGAATTATTAGAAAAAAGAAAAAAGGAAAAAAAGAAGAAGAAAAAAGAAAGAAAAAAAGAAAAGGATATACGTTTCTTACTTTAACGATTTGTATACCGAGCTCTTCATCGTCAGGATTGCTCCACTCGTTGAAGCAGATCTTTTCAGCCTGCTTCCAATCCACACCGCGTTGCTCCAGATGACGTTCCGCCAGCGTCAGCCATAACTGTGAAATATTCAGAAAAAAGGGGAGGGGGAGAGGGGAAAAAGTGAATAAAGAAAAATGAGGATCGCGACGACTCGTGGAATTATAGAAATATTTAGAGAATCTCGCCTGATACTCGCCTTCTTTCGAAATTCCGGCGGAATCCCTCCTGGTAACCTGGCTACCATTTTCATCGCGTCCAGCCATTGTATGAAACCACTTTCTCCCGGTTGCGGAGTCAGGCTGAATCTCATCTTCGTGTCTTCGACTGTAAATTAAAAATGCTCGAGAAAAAAGTGGATTTTGGAGAGAAGATTTGTTTTTCTGAACGAGAACAAATCGAAATAAAAATTTATTGTATGCAAACAATAAAGGGTGACAACAACAAGAGAAAAATACGGAGTTAAAGGAAAAGTGAAAAGGGAGGAATGTATATCCGTGGGACAACTAATAACAACTCTATTATAATCGCATTCGTCGAACTTTCGTCGAATTAACACGAAATTGCGCGTATTGCCAGAGTAGCGACGCAAGAATCGCGAATGGGGATGAAACAGATTACTAATTAAATAGCTGGGGGAAAGTTTGAACCGCGTTGAACGAACAGAAACGTTAATGTCCTTGATTCGATCGAAATGCCAACCCCTATTTAAACGTCGGTTTACAAAGTTTTATAATCGGACGTCTAGCTTGATGCAACGCGACGCGACGAGCAAAACGGCGAAAGATGGAACGATTAAATCGAGGATTGAACGCCTCGATGATCACCGAAACCCGAGGCTCGTTAATACGTTTATCGGCCAGACAAGTTTCATCGCCTTTAATACCCTTATTTAATTAGCAAGCGTGAATCTTCGAATCGATTATGCGACGCACATCGCGTGAACGCTCAACTTTATGAAATCGGATTCGCTTTTGCGAAATTTCAATTTTAGAATTTTAGATCTCTCTTTTCTTTTTCTTTTCCCTTTCTTTCTTTCTGGAACACGAATATATTTCTCGATCAATAGTAAATTATCGTTAAACTTAGACTTGTTGCAGACTCTCGATAGAGAATACAAAAGAAATGATAATAAGTAATTAATTTTAATCCAGAGAGATTTCGATAATAAAAATTGTAACGAATTCACTTCGCAGCTATTCGATATTTTTTTTACAGTTTTTATACGCGGCCTAACGAAGTAATTAAATATCACAATTTTTGGTTCTTTCAGAAACGTTGTTGAACGCGTCGCGATTCAATCGGTTTTCGATTGAACGAAAAACAAGAAAGAAAACGTATTTATATTCGAATGTGAAACACGAGGAATTAATTAACCGAGCATAAGTACTTGGCGTCATCAAGTTGAAGTAGCCACTTGTTCCATCATAAATTTTACAATCGGGCTTGGATAAACGAGTAGCCCATAACCGACCTATCAGAACGTAATACAAATACACATGTGGATTGATTTCCATTATCCCTTTGTTGTTCAAGGATAAGCTTGGCGAGTTCACTAGGTTACCGGTAAACTGAATCTCCTTTCGAGCGTCGAGCGGAGGTTTTGTTTGAACGAAAAGTCCAATTTAATCGAGCCATTGGAAATAAAGCACGAATGCGTGTGATCGAACCTCTCTCCCTTTCTCTCTCTCTCTCTCTC